AATTTGTGTGCTTGAATGTTCAGCTGTCTAATCAGGTAGACAGCAGCACCGGAGCACCAAGGAGGGACAGTATTCTCGAAATCTCTTTTTACTCTCCACACCTCTTACTTCGGGAACAAGACAGTCCTATCATGTGTACGAATACTGAGATGACTCTGCAGACATTTCGTGCATCAGAGATTAACAGGAAGCTAAATACAGGGAGCTAGTAACCACATTGTGTTATAGTGTGGAAACAATCATCTGATTTTGAAAGTGAACAAAAAAAGGGAGATGATTGTAGATTTCAGGGGAAACAAGAAAAAAATAAGAACATGAACAATAAACATCAAGGGAGACAAATTGGAGGATTATAATATCTCTGTGTTTACCTTGACAGCAAGCTAGATGGTAGACTTAACTATGAAGCTCTCTACATTGACGAACCAGACTGTACTTCTTGACAAAGCTTATGTAGGTCCCCTGCATTTACAGCTAAAGACTGTATATATTTTATAAGTCTGTTGTGGAGAGTCTAATAACAATAAAAGCAGGTTCTTTTTTCGAAACTCCTCTAGAACCTTTGGAGAGAATTTTATCTGCTGCTCAGAGCAGTCTGTAGTCTCCCATCGGTTAGAGTTGGTCTTTGTCTTCTGTATAATTCCGCTATCCTAGTCACCATCATTATTAATTCTTACTGGTTGTCACAGTTGCAGGGATGTGGGGCCACGGCCTTCAGGATGGTGAGGACATGATTGGAGCAGCAGGAGCAGCCGGTTTCCATGCCAAGTCTATGGTTGATGCACATCAAGGTGTATTAGAAGGCCATGCAGCACATCTACAGCAGTAGGGGGGCACATCTTGACATACCTGACCAGCTTAAGTAGTGCCTCGTGAGCTTCTGAGCATCTGAGACATGAAACGTGCTTCAAAAGCAACAGATGCTGGAGTTGGAAAATTTAACTTTTGTTGCCTGACACTCCACATCAACCAGAGAAGATGATCTGGGAATCGTCATGGAGACAGACACAGTGGTGCTAATGCAGAGTGCTATGATCACTCTCCACTAAAACAGTGTATTAATTGCCTGCATTAACTTAAAATGTCAAAACCTTCCCGCAAAATATGCTCTCTTTTATTATTCTAGTGCCTGTAGTTTGTACCATACACTGTTGTTTTTGTCAATGATGATGAAATTATTTCGTTGACGCTTTTTTTTCAGGCCCATAATGAAAACTGACGAGTTAAACATGGATCTTTGATGACTAAAAGATGAGTTATCATATGTTTGAGTTTTCGTCAATGAGACGGGACGAGACAAAAAAAAATAATTAGCAGGTCGTCGGTTGTCAGATGTTTAAACTGCTTCCTTGTTCTGTAATCTGCTTTATCAGCCATGCTGCTGCACCATATTTGGTCACACCCACCTGGCATGAAGAGGGCACATTCTGCATGACCACAGATGAATTACGGCAGCAGGGGCAGGTGAGAAAATGCCCCGGAAGGGTCCAGTACTGCGCACTGAACTCTGATAAACTCTGATCTTCCAGCTGTGCTTTTGCAGAAATCCATCTTTGCGCGTGTGTGTAGCTCAGAATCTTCACTTTATGCTCCATACTGATGGTTCACTCTCAGTAGTATGGCTCTTCCTTCCCCCACTACTTACCGGTAATAAACTATATGTAGCTGGTCATCTTCTACAAAGGCAAAAAAATCCCTTTCTCAAAATATCCAGATTTTATTTTCCTCCAAGAGGTGATGCTAAACCTTCCTTAATTTCAACCAAAAGGAATCCCTAAATTATATCCAATAAATATTTCATTGCATACTGTTTATTTTGGATTAAGTCCCAGGTGAAAAGGTACATACAGTAGATCTTTGAATATTTCATTCTCATTGTTCCCATTTCTATCGATTTAAATATGATGTAAATGTTTCCTTGAATTTTCATTAAAACATTTTCTATGTTTCCTTTAAATACTGTATGTCAACATTTTAGTTAGCACATTCATTCAATTTAGGTCTGGACTGCCATGCCATAACAAGGCAATTATTTTAGGTTATCTCTGTATTTTCTTTTTTTATATCAAAATCCTGTGAATTTAAATCTACTTTGACCCCTGAGCAGAAGTAACAAAGGGGCAAATTCTCAGAAATAAAGCCAAAATTGCTACAGTAGAAAAAAATATATATTTTATTTCTTTGCTGTTTTTGGAGCAAGGAAGATTTTATTGATCTGTGTGTAATGCATAATTCATAGTAGATCAGGAAGTGTTTGCTTTTGAATGGAAACCTTGTAAACCTTGTCAACCATTTCTTTCTTGCACATTTTGTTAGCTTGTCTGTCTGCTATATTAACTAATATGAGCTATATTACCTTATATGATGTACTGAACTAGATCTCAAATTGTTTGAGACACTTTTTTATAAAGTAGGGCAATTAATTCATAAAGTTTATTTGAATTCTATAAAGTTTTCTTCCCAGCAGCAATGATGAACTGCATGGCAGAATTCTATACCTAGCAAATGCAGTATCTAGGCAAGTGTTGTCAGTCTGGTAAAGAATCTGGTTGTTATTCGGAATTGTAAAGGTTAACTCTTTTTGCAACATAAAACTCACTAAAACTAGACTAAAACCTTCTTAAGTTTTAGTCGAATAAAAACAACTAAAACTATCAGATATCGTAATGACTAACATGCGACTAAGACTACTAATAGTTTTCGTCCTTAAGACTAAGACTAAATCTAAGATGGCTGTCAAAAACAACACTACTACCATATACCTGAAACACCATGAACAGTAGCAGAAAACCCCCAAGAGGCAACCCTGCCTGAGGCAGCTGCTGCTGGATTCCCAGTGAACGCACAGTGCTGGGGTGTGGGGATTTGTGCAGTTCTGATAGCGGAATAATGTTTAGGCAATAATAATAATAAGGCAGGATCGTAATCTTGATGAACTGACTGAACAGATGATGTTTTGAGGTGGACTTTCTCACTTAAAGGAAAAGTCCGGTCACATTCAGAATACAAACTTCTTAAAGTGCTTTAAGTATGAAATTATTACATACTTTTCAATAAATGATAAGAGTTTTTAATTAGGAGTAATTTATTTTGAATGTGCTTTACCGGAGAAATCCATGTTTGTCAAAGAACTCTACTGCCACCTGCCGGTTTCTGACGTCACGGTGCAGTATCGGCTGTTGAGCAAGTCCCAGTGCTGTATCTGATGTTTGTCACAAAACACTATTATCCATGATGGTGACGACCAGTTCACTATGCAAAGCAGGGAGTAATGGATTAATGACGGGTTTTTTTTTTTTTTTTCTCTGGCCATTAGTTTTATGGCAAATCCTCCCTCTTCAAGCTGGCAATCCAACGACAAACCCGTGGAGGATAACGAATTGGAAAGGTGAAATAACACTTTTTTTTTCACTTTTACCCGATGTATTACAACATCCAACTGCTCTGCACGTTGGCAATGTCACTTTAGCTAGGGTTCTCACGAATTTCAATGGTGAAATCTTAAATAATTGCTGTTGATTGCAGATGTGTCTAGTAGCTCCCATTGATTTTGCTTGTAAAGCGGGGAGAATGGCGCTAGGCTTACCGCACCGTGACATCACTGCTGGAAGATGTCAGGAGTGAGGTGTTACTATACAAAAATGGCAGTTCCCAGACTCAGTGATTGAGACAAAAGATATTGTTTTTATTTTTTTATTAATAACTAATGTTAAATTCATTAAATCACAGCGAACGTATTAGTTTTAGGTGTAGATAATGATCCCTTGATTATTCCTAGCTGACCGGACTTTTCCTTTAAAAACATCTTCAAACTGCTTAATGCCCACTAATCAGTGAATTATAGCAAAGGCAGTCTCTCTCATTGAACACAGGAATTTTTCTCAGAATTCTGACTGTTTTCTGACAGCTAACAAACATGTTAGCATCAAGCCATAGCCATGTCTGTTTTAGAGACTAAACTAGCTCTCTTGTTTTAATCACCTTCTACTCTTCAATTAATGAAATAGCATTAGCAGGGACCTCTCATGCACAT